AAAGAGTGTCCAGCCTAAAGATATTAGGATCCTTTTCTGCATTGAGTTATACCATTTAGAAGTAGAAGGCCCTTCTGCTTCATGTAATGATAAAATGTGTTGTACAGAGCATACAAAATTTCTGTGTGCGTAGACATGTATAATACCGAACAAATGGGTTTCAATCTACCGAGTTTAAGACAAAAGTGTCCTGCACTCACATTACTGTGGCAGCGAACACATGTAGTATTTATTCCACGCTAGGTATTTAAAGTAAAAAATTGTAGGTTAAAAATTCTGGTGTGGCCTTAAACAAGGAGGGACAGAAAGGGATCACTAAAATTTCCTGTATATATATTTCACATTTCTGTTAATATTTATATGCACTATGTAAATGCAACATCACATACACATACATGTACATATTTATGTACACACACGTACATATATGCACACAAATGCAATCATAGGATTTGTTTAATGTAGAACATTAGAGGAGCATTTGTATTTTCACCTCCATTTTAAGAGAAGGTAAATAAAAAGCCCCAGGAATCATTAAACTTAAATGCTGAGATGTAAAAACTGTAACATGAATGTCTAAGTCCCCAAGAGTAAATAGGCTTATGTATTTCATATTTAATATTGCAAAGTTCTTGTAGTCACCAGAGAAAAAATAATCTTTGAAATCCCTTTAGATGACAAAGAGAAATGACAAGAGTGGGTCTTACTCAAGTAGATAGCTGAAAAATTATTTTTTGTTGTGAAACCTAGAATCCCAATTTTCTCCTGTTGGATTCAGTGTAGACTCTCATTAGGCAGTAAGATTAAGTGCTTGATTTATTGCTGTTTTTTATACATTGCATGTCTTAAGTAGAGCTAAGTTTCCTTAAAAGGGCTAAAAGAATCTTTCTATTCCATTATAAACTAATTTCAGCAATATATTGTCAGAAATTTTCACACAGTGATAACCTCAACATTCTTGGTGTACAAGCACTGCCCTACTGAGCGCATGGGAAATACTTCATTCCCCAACCTGCTTAGTGATACATGTAATTTTCCTCTGCAATATATATGTACGTATTTATTTAAGAAGATTAAAATAGCTAATCCTTACAGCCATACTTGAGGATTCAACTCAAAAAACTTTTTGAAATTGTAATGCTTTATCTCCACCAACCTCAGCTGGCATGAAAATCCATTTATAATAGAAATCATTGTCTATTCCTATAAACCTGAGAACCATCATGGTAGCTGCTGGGCCCAGTACATAAATTCCCATCCGCTCCGCTCTTCTAGTAATGCCTTGTATGTAAGTACAGAAACACAATTCTTCTTAATCTTTCTGGTTTTAGTAAAGATATAAAAAAAAGGGGGCTCTTAAAATTCAAGACTGACTATATATTGGTAAAAAATATTTGTCAATCTGTTTTCCCATGAAAATACAACTGCGTAAAGTTCAGCAGTTATTTTAGTTAAATTCTCTTGCAAGAATAAAGGTAAGGACTCAAGCCTTTACCGTTTCACATACCACAGATGACATAAATTAGCTATAACCATTTTCAGATTCTCTCAAGACATTTCCTTCTGTGCAGGATACTTACACTGACATAATGTGCTGGGTGTCGGTGCCCAGGCGCTGGCAGTGGGGCTGCGGGACGGCCTGTGTGAGGAGAGGCTGGGGCTGCCCCATGCCGGACACAGCCAGTTCCAGCCGGCTCCAACCCACCCACCGCAGGGCACAGCTCAGCCCCTCGGCCAAGATAATAGCACCTCAGGGAAAGCAAACTTAAGAAAGGGCAAAATACTGCACGGCAGTGAGGAGTGAGGACAAAAGTGTGAGAAACAGCCCTGGGACACCAAAGTCAATGAAGGAGGAGGGGAGGAGGTGCTCCAGGTGCGGGAGCAGGGACTCCCCTGCAGCCCCTGGAGAAGACCATAGTGAGGCAGGCTGTCCCCCTGCAGCCCATGGAGAGCCCATGCAGGAGCAGGTTTTCTGGCAGGATCTGTGACCCCATGGGGGATCCACACTGTAGCAGTCTTTTCCTGAGGGACTGCACCCCATGGAAAGGACCGATGCTGGAGAAATTCATGAAGGACTGTATCCCATGAGAGAGTCCCCACACTGGTGCACGGGAACAGCATGAGGAGGGAGGTGCAGCAGAGGCAAAGTGTCATGTACTGACCACATCCCCTATTCCCTGTCCTCCTGCGCTGCTTGAGGTGGGGAGGTGGAAAAGTCAGGAGTGAAGTTGAGCTTGGGAAGAAGGGAAGGGTGGGGAGAAGATGTTTGTAGTTTTGTTTGTGCTTCTCACTATCCTGCTCTATTTTAATTGGTGATAAATTAATTTCCCCAAGTCGAGTCTGTTTTGCCCATGACAGTGGTGAGCGATCTCTCTGTCTTTATCTTGAGCCATGAGCTTTTTTATCTTATTTTCTTCCCCCATTCTGCTGAGGAGGAGTGAGAGAGCGGCTGGGTGGGGGTCTGGTGACCACCCAATGTCAATCCAGCTCACATACCTACTGTGCTGCTCCACTCTCATCACAGACATAGAGTAGACTGGGAATATTGAAGAACTACTTTTTGCCACACACTATGACAGGGAGCTGAAAAGCCCTTGAATGTCTTCATCTAAATGAAGTGATTTCACGACTTCCACAATTGAAAATCTGGATTTAAAAGATAAAAATCTCAAACCCAGATTCAACTAAAAGTAGAAGGAAGCAACAAATGCGGAAAAAGTCCCCTGAGTTATCCAGTACTGCCTCAGAACTACACCTAGTTTTATTCCAACTGTGTCAAGCTCAGAGATACTTAAATCCAGGCGTACATAGATATGAATAAACCAAATCCAGGCAGCTTGTAAAGGTCTTTTTGTCAAAAACACAGGCCAATTACTTCCTCACAATGATTTGACTAATGTACCTTGGTGCTTCCCAATGATGCAATTCAGTTTAGTTTAAAAACTTCTAAGTTATATGGGTGGCATTTTATTCCACAGAAGAATAAGCAAAGATAGGTGCATGATCCAGCATGCAAAACCAGCATCTGAGTACTCACCTAGGGAAAGCAGAGACCTGAATTCAAGCCCAGCAAGGGGCTTGAATAGGTCTCTGACTTCCTCTGAATAGTATTTTGCTTCTTGAGACTTGTAATCCAGTTATGACTTCAGACTAGTAACAAACTGAAGAGCTTCCTTTCTTGAAGTCTCTTTCCCCAGATTTTCAAAGTCCATATCAGAGCAGAAGTTGAATTAGGTAAGTTGGTATGCGATCTCCTCACTTTTCCCAGTCTCTGGAGAGAGAAAATAGGAAAATGCAGGAGCAAAGTATGTCTGTGATACTAAGACTGGCAGGAAAGGGAAGGAAACAGCACAGGCAGGCTGACTGATGAAGAAGGGCGAGAGACAACAGCTTGGGAAGGAATCGGCATGAAATAATATGCAGATGACTGTCATGTAAGAATATTGTTGATAACTGCTGAGATGAACAGGAACAAGCATCAAAAGGAGAAGAACAAAAGGGAATAACACTTTTTCGTGAAAAAAAAAATAGTTGGAAGACCCATCTAGAAAAGAAAACAGAGTGAAACTGAAAAAAATATTATTGGAGACACTAATCTTCCACCTTTAAAAGTTTTATACTATTGCTTGGTTAGTCTGAATATAGTCAGAGATTTCAGAGCCAAATTCGCTCACAGACAAAAAAGAGGAAGGGAGGAAAAAGGACAGTAGAAAAGAGTTTGGACAGGAAGAAGCTTGGTACTTATACGATGAAAAAGTATTTGGAGAGTTATTTTAGACATGTTCAAAAAGAAATATCTGAAGAGTGTTTTGATTCTTTTTAAAAAAAAAATCAGAGTTTAAGTCATCTGCCTTAATGCTCAGAATTGAGAAGGGAATAGTCTTTGCTGGTCTAATGATTTTCTTTTGCCACCTGGTGGAAATGGGGTGGAATGACAAGTTTTAGGAATGTACACAACTTGAGATGTTTAATTTTTTTTAATTCATTCTTCCGTTACGTCAAGTCAAAGAATTCAGTATAATTAATAAAATGTTGTGTCAAATACACAGCACAGCAGATTCAAAGCCTGGCAAGCTACAGAATTCAACTAAATTGCACAGACTGATACTGCCTCTACCATTAGCTCATAAACAGAAAAGAAAAAAAAATTGCTGCTTATTTTCCATTGACTAGCTCAGATCAGAGCTGCTCAAAACTGCCTACCTGCGTACAGAAGGGAAGAAATCTAGTTTTTCAAAATATGGGGGTTTGGGTGCCCTCCTGTGTTCAAGTGGCAAATTGCAAAGTGAATGGGAATTATTTTTTTCCCTTTCTTTCAAAAATGCGGTATTGTCTACCAAAAGCATTGTAGAATCATGGTGTTTGCTTCCTTGAAGTGAACTCTGAAGAATCTACGTTTGTTTTCTTAATTAGCTAGGGGGTTTTTTGCCTGCTTTTGCTAGCTACTCAGTTTGTTTTAAACAGATTCTGAGATTTGAAAAATATGTTTCTTCATTTATTCCAAATAAGGAACAATTACATAATTATTTGTGCAAAAGTCAAGCTAAAAGTTTTGTAATAAAAATATATCCATCTAATAATTTTAATATGTAAGATTTTATGAAGTTGTGGAAAGATTCAAAGTAAACTTCATGAACTCTGATCAGTGGTTTTGACAGGGCTCGTAGATGAAACAAAACAACAGAAATGAGGTAATAAATGAAGCAATAGACTGAATCATATGCCTTTTCAGTACATATGAAAGGAAATTCAGTACACGAGAGAGGAACTTCCCAAAAGCTAGGGCAGGGGCAGAGGACTCCGAACATTTCAACCAAAATGCAAAAAATTTGCAGTTTCAAAGAGATGAGAAGAGGGATTTATAAAAGGAAATGTCAGGGACCCCTGGCTGTCATTCTGAGACATCAGAACAAATCCAGTGGCTGTGCTCTCAAGTTGGGAACCAAAAGTCAGTGACCACCTTTGACAGTCATCTCCATTCTTCAGTGCTGTGCCTGAAGACACACACGGTTCTCTGCATTAGCAGAGGGGATGATGGGAGCAAGGAAGGGGAACAGGGTCTCAGCCCAAATGCAAATCAGCCATGACTGGTGCAGCTGTATATGATGTTGCTTTATTTTTTTGCATATTACAACTTATTGGTCATTTTTCAGTGAGCTTCAGCTAAATAATTTACATTTTTTGCTAATGTAATTTTTTCATACAGGTTAATCTACCTTTGACCTTGTATATTATTTTTAAGCTACACACAGGTACTTGGGCTATTTAAAAAACAAACAGCAGAGTCTCAGTAAATTGCTAGCACACTGGTAATCAGTACATCTATATGTCTAGAAACATATCAAAAGGTTCAGCTTACTGGAACAAGATGAAAAGAGTATTGGAGGGGAAAGGCTGGAAGAGATGCAAGAGTAGTGGCCTGAGCAGGCTTCTGGAGTGGAGGTTCCAGGCTCACAAAGAAGGTCTGCATGAGCCCAGGACTGCAACAGTCTGATCAGACTTCTTCAGCTGATGCCTAGACGGTGCCTTAAAATATAGTAACATGAAATCACTACCTGCTAACCTAATCATTTAGCCTTTCCCTATTTGCCTTTTGTCTCTTCTTTAGGTAGTATAAAAAGATTCAAACATCCTTGAGAGGAAATTCAGGTGTGATAGGTTTACCTTTAACCTTTAAAAACGATCTACTATAGATTACAGTCTATTATAGCTGGTGAGAGAGGGTGCAGCTCTTCTAATGCTACTCTGATAGACCCACAAAGGCAGATTAATAGAGATTTTTTTCATCCCCAGGACATATATAAGAATCTTGATGTTTTGTGGTTTATATTTTATTTCTTGGGAACTGGATATTAATATTTCACATAATATGATATAAAAAGGGGGGGGAGGGGACTTAGTCTTCAAATTAATTTGATTTTGAAAATCTAGTGTTAAAAACTGGTTCTGTTTATAGTGCATGACATCTCAGATATTTTAGTGGAAAGCTAAAAATGAGGCACATGAAAGACTTGCATTACTTTTCTCTGGAGGTGGCTCAAGATCTTAGTAGAGTCATTTGTACCATTTAATGAATATATTCTTTCCTCTTTTCTTTCTTCCAGTTTGCAGCTCAGAACCTGAAAATGTTCAATCTGATCCAAAGAATTATACTAGTCTTCTCGTTACATGGGAAAGACCTCGGGTTGTATACGACACCACAATTGAGAGATTTGCTGTCTTTTATCAACAGTTGGATGGAGATGACCAGACTAAGCATGAATTTCTGACAGATGGGTATCAGGACTTGGTAACTGTAAACTCTTCAAGTTTCATACAAGGGGTGATGGCAAAACACTCACTGTTAATTGTCTTAAGGGCTTAAACAGTGGCTAGGAGCTGATTCAATAAAAAAATCACTTCTTTGGCTGCAGCTCACAGAAGCTGTATTTCATTTTTTTGGCTGTAAAGCCACAAAGACAATTAAAAAAAAAAAAAAAAAAAACAAAAACCAAAAACCTCTCTTCTTGCCCAGAAGAGAGAAAGCTTTCGCAGATTGCTGTTCTGATTTGCCTGTACTATCCCCAAAAGTTTATGATCATGTCAGTCTCAGAGCTCCTAAGCCGATTAATAGTGATCTGTACTTCACTGCTCACTGATGTGCAAAGAATGACCTACACAAACAACTAATAAGATTCAATACAATCATACTGTTATAAATATTAAGTTACTGATTACAGCTTCATGGTTTTTTACTGACGTCATCTGTTCCATTTACCCTCTTTAAAGACTCATAATTTATCAGAGATAATGTTACCTGAACTGGTGTTCAGCATTAAAAAATTATATAGTTTTGGTATCCTCCATGTAAAAATTCACGAGATTTTTTTTAAAGTTGGTTGAAAAACATTTGTGACAATAAAATATAAAAAGCATACATTAGAGTCCTAGAAGAAAAGAGCTTTATGGCTTATATGAAAAATGTGTTATGAAAAAATTAATATTTCCAAATATTGGATACTTATTTGCAAGTAAATGATTAAACATGGTTTTTCTTTTAGGGGGCTATTCTAAATAATCTGCTGCCCAATACAAGTTATGTTCTTCAGATAGTTGCTGTTTGCTCTAATGGTCTATATGGAAAATACAGTGACCAAGTCATTGTTGATATGCCTTTAGAGGACCCAGGTAAGTGGTCTTTTGAGCTTAGTGATGACTTTTAGCTGAAAATCTGTGTTTGAAGAAGTAGTTTGTTTGCAAACCAGTTAAAATGCACGACTATCAAAATACGCTAAAATGAAATTTCAAAATCGCTGCAGTTAACCTTCAGCATGTACTTTGCTACTGATATTTTACACAATGTAATTCTCCATTCCTTGTAAACTTTACCTATGAAAGACTGCATGTTAATTTTTTTTAACTCTAAAAATATTCTGAAAAACACCTACCTGATTTCAAAGCTCACAAGTGTATCTTTTAGCAAT